CTGTCTCTCTTTTTAGCTATTACATTTGTTTTCTCTGGCTGCTGCCTGTTTTTAATAATTTTTTCTACTTTCTTATTTTCTCTTTTCACTGTTGGTTTCTTGTTTGTTATTTCAGTTTTGTTTTCTTGAGTGTGTGTGTGTATGGGGAGGGGTTTCTCCTCTTTCCCACCTGACAGGACACAGCAACTATACCCATATAACCTAGCTATAACTGTACCCTATGCAGCTCCACCCACTAGGCAAGATACAATACCAGCTTCTATGCCACCCGAGCGATGATACACAGCAGCCCATGTGAGCTAAACCCACCCTAAACTGAGGTGCATGAAGGGCATATGGAGAACTGTGCACATGTATCCATTCTCTTAACTACACAACAGTAACAACAAAAATAAACAGGCTAACAGAATATTACAAATAATTATACTAAAATAAAACTGAAAATCTGGAAGAAATGGACAAATTTCTAGAAACACATGACCTTACTTAAATGAGTACAGACTAAAGTACAAAAACGTAATAGACGGATTAAAAAAAGAAAATGATCAAGTCATTAAAAAAAACTCCCAAATAAAAAATGTGGGCCCAGATAGATTTACTGGTGAATTCTAGCAAGCAATCAAAGAGGAGTTGACACCAATTCTACTCAAACTATTACAGAGTATAAAAAAGTATAGAAAACTCCCAAGTTAATTTTATGAAACAAGCATACCAAAACTAAGCAAAGACATCACTAAAAGAGAAAATTATGGACCAATATTCCTTGTGAATATAGATACAAAAATTCACAACAAAATCCCAGCCATTAGAATCCAACAACATATCAAAAAATATAATACATCATAACCAATGTAAGAATCAGGGATGGTTCAATATTAGAAAAACAATCAATATAATCCATCACATACATATAAGAAAGGAAAAAACAAACGACATGATCTTATCAATTAATATAGAAAAAGCATTTGACATAATCCAACACCCATTCCTGATAAAAAACACTCAACAATATAGGAATAGATGGGAAATTCCACAACATAACTAAGGACACATACAAAACCAATAGCCAATATCGCTTTCAATGGAGAGTAACTAAAGGCATCTCTCTTGTGAAGAGGAACCTGACAAGGATGCCCCATATACTGTGGGTTAATGTGCCCGACTTTGATTTGAACCAAAAGGTCAGCAGTTCAACTCATCAGCTGCTCTTCGGAAACACTATACAGGGTCTCTATGAGTAGGAACTGACTTGAACGCACTTAACAACAACAACTCAATATTGCGCTCTAAGTCTTAGCCCGAGCTATAAGGCAAGAAAGGTAAAATTAAAGGCATCCAAACAATTAAAGAAGTAAAACTCTATTTGCAGATGATATGATCCTACACATAGAAAACCCCAAAGATTCAGCACAAAAATGACTGGAACTCACTGGAAGATTCAGCAAAGTGGCCGGATACAAGATCAACATACAAAACTCAGTTACCTTATATGAATAAACAGAACTCTGAAAAGAAAATCAGGAAAATAATACCATTTACAATAGCCACCCAAAAGATGAAATACTTGGGAATAAATCTAACCAGAAAAAGAAAAGAACTATACAAAGAAAACTACAAAACACTACTGCAAGAAACCAAAGGAGACCTACAAAAATGGCAGAATACACCATGCTCGTAGAAAGGAAGACTTAACATTGTGAAAATGTCAACACTACTCAAAGTGATCTATAGATATAATGCAATTCCAATCTAGAAAGGTAAATACTGTTAACTAATGGAAGGGATTGCATTCATTGTGATGAAACAAAGCATGATATAGTCAATGTGGGACTGAAAATTGGCTCTGTAAACCTTCACTCAATTCACAAAAGTTAAAAACAAACAAAACCTAACTTGAGCTATTACTAATTTTTAGGCTTCTTCCCCCTAAGAAAATATGCTTTTCCCTCAAACTGAATCACACTACTTCTATTTTTAAACAGTCTTCTGCCCATTGACTGCAGAATAAAACCTTTCCAAATTATTATGCATCTTTCTGGGTCATTTAGAAAGGTGGCTTTAGTACTACAACATATAAACCTATTACAGTTAACCAATGTCTTGTTGGACACTTTATATGGAATTATTATGCTTTTATGAATACTGGGTAGCTAAATAATTTTTTGCTTTTGGATAGTTCTTTAATATCAGCTCTTAGCAATTACAAATCTGTGATCAGTTAATCAAGCTAATGGAATCACCATGTGTGCAGTTCTCAGTCATTCTGCTCTAGATCACAGTAGGGACAGCTATTGTAGCGGCTCTGGAGGCAGTTTTGCTTACTTGTGGGTATGGCTTTCAATTAGACCAGCTCTTCTAGAACTGGTTGCGGCCTTCTGGATAAATCCAGATGGTAGCTTCTTTGACCCCGGCACAGACTTTTACTGTGCTTTTCCACTTGAGCTCCCATCAAGCCTACCTTTATGACTGATCATCACCTGCTGCACCTTCGCCTAGTTAAACAAGTTCCTGGCCTTTCCGGAGTGCTGATGTCTGCATTTGTAGGGTTGACTCTTGTAAACTAGGCGTTGTGGGTTAAGGACTGAGCTAACCCAGGGTTGGTTGCTCAGACCCATCAGCTGCTCCTTGGAGGAAGGCGGAGACTGTCAGCCCCAGTAGGTTGTTTTGGAACCCTCTGGAATACTTCTGTGTCTACTTTGTCGCACTAAAGTAGGAACTGACTCAATGACACTGGGTTTTGGCTTCTTCAGGTCTCACATTTTCAAGTAACCCATTAACTTTCCTAGCACCATTTAACAACTTTGTTGTTGTTGTTAAATGGCATTGACAACTCATAGCGACCCTGTATAGGGTTTCCAAGAGGCTGGTGAATTTGAATCGCCGACATTGTGGTTCAAACAGACCTTGAGGTCGAATGCTTTGCTTATGGGGCCACACCAGGACTCATTTTACAACTTTGGGTTCCATTAAATTTACCACATCTGTGAGTAGTGAGTGGTATAGAGAGAGCAAACTTAAGCAATTACAACACCAAACACCTGTACTACTAGTGAATAGCCTAAATGCAGCTAGACTGACACTCCTGTTTCCCAAACTTGCCTGAAGATAAGGATCTTATAGAACATTTAAAAAATAACCTATTCCCTGGTTGAGTTTAAAGGCTAGACCTGACAGTGTGGATACACTAAACAAGCACTGAAGGGATTTTTTTTTTTTTTTTAATCTGTAAAACCACCTAACATTTTACAGATCTGCTTATTTACTGGTTTCACAGCAATCCACTAAGAGCTGAGATTTCCTTATAGGTTAACGTCAGTCTTCTCAGTTAGTACCAGTTTATCTTGTGGTTGGGGGAAGGCTATTCATGAAAGGCAGGGCACTACTGAGTTTGTCTTGAATATCCTTGGTGATTGTGCCTGAGGGAGGTCTGGGCTCTTTTTTTTTTTACGTTTTTACTGAGAATTGATTGTTTACAGGGCAGATCATCAGTTTCACATTCAACAAATCATATAAAGTGTTTCATTACAATGATTACAATCCCCTCCATGTACCATCAGATAACAGTACTTCTATTCACTTTAGCTTTTTTTTTTTTTTTTTTAACACTCAGGCATATATAATTTACACCACCAAATGGTATATTCTGCAAGTCTGCCTCCTGGCCGCCAGCTCTTAGACCCTCTCTTCCCATGAATCTAGTCCTCAACTGCATCCTCTCTCCATGTCCCCATCTGTGCCTCATCTCTGGTGTTGATGCTTGAAGGGATTTCTTATAACCAAGCAAATTTGTAAACACCATCCTCTGAGGACCCTGGGAAGTCCAGTTGGGATCCAAGTAAGCTGATAAACCTGCACCCAATCTCTAGTGTCCATTCTAGGGAGGTAGAGGATTTCTAGGCTTTCACTCTACGCTGGGAAGTCTTTAAAGCTTGAGAAAAAAGAACGAACTTTTGGTTTATTTACTGTCTCTACATCAAGGATGGTTTCGAACCTACACCCACTAGGTGTATATTCTGTCTGAAATGCTGGAGTTTCAGAACTGTGAACTGGACTGCATACTTCTTTATAAAGTGTCACAAAAATTCCAGATCTTCTGAGGAATGACTCCTTTGTATATATGCTAAAATAACTCCCATCTTTTGTTAGGTTTTATTTTCACTTTCAAAATCTGTTTGATTTTAGAGTCACATTAGGAAACTGCTAGGGTAGTGCTGTGTAATGTGAGAGGCCTGAGAAAGGGGAACACAACTCAGACATCTGCCTGAACTCATGACAGTCTGGTTTCTTGGACGATCAATCTGCAGGATGTGTTAAAGTGTCTTCCATTGATAGCCAAACGTGCCAGAAGGTCCAGTGGAAGCTCGAGAGACAGAGCTGCTGAACTTTGGCTTCACTACACAATACTACTTACATGAGATCACAATTTCTATTCCTGTTTTGATTTATTCACTTGATAGGATAATGCATGAAATAGAATTTTATAAAAACCAGGCCCAGAGAAAAGCTTTGTCATCCTTTAGGCTGAATATTGCTAGTTACCTCTTTTAGCGTCTTCTTTAATATGAAGGAAAGTAATACCATTGATGTTTATTTTTGAAGTAGGATAAATATTTCAGCTCCCCCTCTTTAGTAGTTTCAGAAAAGGTCTCTTTACTGTTTCCCCTATCAAGAAAAATTAAAGGTGTAACATTAAAGGATGAGAAAAGTAAAGCTGGGCAGAATGAGGAAAGTGCTTTATTCAGTGCACATCGACCGCTTTTTTTCAGTTACATTCATAATTATACTAAGACAATTCCCCTGTTTGCTGAGAATGTGTTGTACTTAAACAGTCGGAATTAAGAAAAATGTTACAATTTAAAACCTCTATAGTTATTACTGGAAGGTCTATTGGTCTGTCTTTATAAGTATGCAAGTGTGTGTATTCATATCAACTTTTTTATACGAACCATTCAAAACATAATTGTAAAAGCTGTTTCTTCATGTATTTAATGATTGCCTTTCTACATATTTAGAAGCTCCACAGGTGGTGGCTTTAATGGAATTTTTCCCAGAGTAAATTTCCTCGACTGAAACTGTTCCAGTTCTTTTGCTGTTAGTTGATCCTTGGGGGTGAATAACATACTATCTGTGGTGGTGTTGCTATTTGACGCTGAGAGAGAAGTGGCTATGTTGCCATTTCCAAAGATGTTATTTGATGGCTTAGAAAAAGCAGTGTTAGAATGCGAGCCTGGAATGCCAAAGCCAGACACAGAACTGCCACTTCCAAAGCCGGGGGCTGCTGGAGTGCCTGCAGGGCCTGCTGCCAAGGAAGCTGGAAATACTGAAACTCCGGGGGATCCAAAACCAGAAGCTGCAGGACTTTTAAATGAAAATGAAGAAGCAGATATGACTTCAGCTTTCCCAAATCCAAAAGATGGAGTGGAATTAGTAGTGGCAGAACTGGCAGAGGGTATAGCCCCGAAAGCTGGAGGACTCCCGAAAATTGGTTGGTTTCCAGAAGGGGCCACAGGGGCTGTGACAAATCCAGAGCTTGGTTTAAAACTAAAATTGCAAGCATTATCACGTCTGCTGTTATTCACTGGAAACCCTACAAAGCCAGAAAAAGGAAGAAATAATCCATTAGCAAGAAAATGTAGCCATAATACTCTTAATTCTTTTCTAATTTTTCCCTTGTTTGGATATTGACAAGTTCATTGGAGGGCAAAAGAGAAAAAAGTGAGAAACTAGAAAAACCCATTTAAACCCTGTTGTCCTGTCTTCTCTGATGCCAATTTCATTCTCGCTGTGATTCACCTTCAGCCAGGGATAATGGAGGAAGCTATGGTAAGCCTCAGGGACTAGGTGGTGGACCTCCACTTCAGTTTGCTACCTCTTCTGCTCCACTGTGACTTCAGGATACTACTATGCTGTTATACACGGTAACGAGAAAGTTCTCAAAGTTGCAGCTGCCATCATATCTATTAGGTTTTCCCATGAAACTCTTGAAAACAACATCCCTAACTGTACTTCTAAAGCCTGAGTTGAAGGGTATTTAAAAAACATGTCTTTTCTGGTCCCATTTTCGCAAATGCTTGATGAACCAAGTCTTTAGAGGCTTCACATGGAAGGTTGTAGTACTTGCAAAGGTAATTTAAAATAACACTAAACATATCTTCAGGTTTTAGGATATTAAAATGCTAAATCCGTGAATCCTGCTCATCACTGTATCACTTACCTACTGACTCAAATGTTTGTGCTTGCCCACTGCCAAATCCAAATGCAGGTGCTGCTTGACAGGCTCCCCCTTTTATATCTGAGAGCTTTAAAAACAGCAAATTAACAAAGTGTTTCACGAACAACTCTCAAAATATCTTTTCTATACAACTTAGCCAAATCCAAAATTTAAATGTACATTTAAAAAATGTGAAGTTAAATGTTTGAAAATAAAAAATACCCCTAGTATGATGCTGAAAGGGAGATATAATCATGTACAAATGGTACAATCTCAAGAAATAATATGAATCTGCCTAGATAAGAATGTTTCAACACCAGTTAAGTTAAAAGTGGTTATCTTTGGGTGACAGAATTATGTGTGATCTTGATTTCACTTGATGCCTTTTAAAACTTTCAAGGCCTCTTGATGTGGTGCCATAGGATGAGCAGCTCAGCTCCACCAGCTGCTCCTCGGAAACCCTGCACGGGGCGGCTATTAGTGGTATCGACTCAACAGCACTTTATTTCACAACAACATACTTTCTACATTTCTATAAACAATGAGGATATATTAAAATTAGATACACAGATTTTCTAATGGTACACTATTACTATATTATAAATTTGGAGTTGTATTTATCAAGAAGCCTACATGTTAGGTAAAAAGAACCTTTACAGGATACTTAATCTACTTATTCTATTGCTTGAGCTGAATTACAGTCACAATTACATTACTAAAAAAGCTTATTATTATAATCAATTTAATAAAACATTTCCTAGTCCCTGGAAATACTTTTGCTCTTTCTTGCTACAGAAATGATGTCCTTCATCTCTGCTTGTAGAATTTTCCATTCCCATTGTAAGGAACTTTTCTTACTCCTTCCGTCTGAGAAGTCTCTCCTTTGGAGGCCTCAATAACAGTTTTCAAAAATATCAACTCTGAGGTTTAACTTACAACAAAATACACTCATGTTTTGTAAATATTTCAGTGAACTTTGAAAAATTTATAGCCACCACAATCATCAAAATTTGGAATATTCCCATCACCCCTAAAACTTCCCATGTGCCTCTCCCCAGGCAACCTCTCTAATCCCCTAGTTCAAGGCAACCATTCATCTGCTTTCTATCACTACCAATGAGGTTTGTCTTTTCTAGAGTTTCAAATAAATAGAATCATGAAATAAGTGCTCTTTTTCTTGGTGTGGATTCTTTCTTTCGATTTAATGTTCATCAGTAGGTAAATAAACAAATTATAATAATGTATCTATACAACAGGGAGCGTAAACACTGTAGGATGAACACTGGACTGCAGACCACAAGGTCGACAGTTCAAAGCCCATCAGCTGTTCAACAGCAGAGAGATGAAGCTTTCTTCCCCCATAGAGTATTACAGCCTTGGAACCCTACACAGGGTTTCCAAGTTGTCAGAAATAACCCAATGGCACTTAACAACAACAGCTAATAGATTACTACTCAGCAAAAAAGGAAACAACTACTCATACTGCAGGGGGGTTGTCCCAGAACCTCACCTATGAAGGGGTCTTTGGAAATCCAGGAAAGAGTGGGGAACTTTCAGCCCTGAAGAAAGCTCTCCAATTCTTTGGGCTCAAGTTGTTCCATCTAAACCAGCTCTCAATAATGGTGATGTGGGGCCACCTCTCACCTAGGGACAGATGCTTCCAAGATGGCATTACCACAATTCAAAGATTGAAGGAATTAGCTTGCACAAGAGTCTAATTATGAAGGAAGCACATACTTAAGAAAGGGGTGGACTGCTGGGACTGTCAATCAGCCACTCGCTAAGCTTAGGCAGATACTACTCTCATATCACTTTTGAGAGAGTGGAAACAGAAACTGGCTGGGAAATTGTTAAGTGCTGCCAAGTCGGTTCTGATTCAGCGACCCTATATGGGTTTCCAAGAAGCAACTGGAAAATTAGAAAGATCAAATTCTAAGTGTAAAATTAATGTTTTAAAATATGGTTCTTAAAGAACTTTTTATGGGTGTCAGAAAAATCATAACTTTACTGACAAGAGGTAACAGACCTGCCACAGCCAAGACCATGTACTTTGGAGAGAAGTGAGTATACATCTCTAGTGGCATTTTTGTATATGAAGAGAACATTTTAATGACCCATAACTTGTAAATGTTCTTCAGGCATTCAAAACAATTGCTTTTTAAACATTGAGTCTAAAGTACTTGAATTTACATAACATTTTCCAATTTTCTTATCATAGTTAAAAACTTCACTTTAAAAATACTTTTGTTGTTAATTGTTATCAGGACTGCGAGGGTTGGAAATGTAAAGGTAGACGTTTTGTAGCAAGGAGGGGAATGATTAACTTTGCAGTCTAGGAGTGGAGGTCCCTGGGACCATGAAGGGAGAAGAGCAGAGAATGGGACCCTACCCAGAGAAGCAGTGATGCCAGAGATGGAGGCAGAGATGATGACGTGGAAA